TCTCTATTTGTACAAGTGACTGACCAACTGGACAATGAGAACAAAAGGTTCTTTTTCATTATCTTCTTTTTCATCAAATTTTTCATCTTTTTACCATCTTTTTATTATCTTTTCATCTTCATCATCTGTTACATCTTCTAGGGGATCTTAGAACACTAACTTTCTATAAAAAGTTGTGGAAAAGAATAAACGATTAGTTCAAAATTGAACAGATGTTTTCTGCTTTTAGAGGTCAGTCATTGAGACATCTGATTCTACATCTTCGTACTTCTGCTTTGAAAGGTCAGCATTTGAAACATCTCAACTCCTGTCTTTCAGCTTCTGTTTAAAGAGGTCAACCCTTGATACATTTTTAACTTTGATCTTTATACTTTGCTTAAATAGGTCAATCCTTGATACATTTAAACTTTGGTCTTTATACTTCTCTTTAAATAGGTTAACACTAGAAACATCTAACTTCTTACATTTTATGGAGTTTAAATTGTATAAAGTCTCCCTATGATATGAGTTTGGCTCAGTTTAAAAAAAGGTTGAAGTTATGAAGAAATTGCTTGTTAATGTTCAGAATGTAAATTTTATTAGTATAAGAAATTCATCCGTTTTTTAAAGTTAAATTAAACACAGAAATGATATCTTTTTCACTAATTTTCTTTCTTGCAAAGAAAACGAGACTGATTCTTCAGAATTGCGATTCAATTGTTCTTGTTTACTGTGCAATTGTCACTTGTACTATCATAGTTTATATATCTTGCCTGCAGTCTAGTAAATTTGAAATCGGTCGATATGTAGTCATCTTGAATTCAACTGATGTGTAGTCTTATTTAAATTGGGTGGAATTTAGAAATCATTAAACTTAAAATATCAAATGCCTTGTACATATGAATAACTCTTGTAATGTTTTAAAAAAATTTTCCATGCTGAGAAATCAAAACCCATTGACCATTCAAAAAACCAAGCAACTAACAAGTATATGTTCGGTATGTCCTGTGTTTCAGCACTGTCCTGCTGTTAACATTTTTAACTTGTGACATTAAACTCAAGCTAACTTTGAACGTAAACTGTGTACCACTGAACAAACCTTGCAATTCAAATAATAAATACATCACTGTGCATCAGTCTGCTACAAATCTAGCAATCCAGACATTAAATACATTATTGTGCACCAGTCTGCTACAAGCCTTGCAATCCAGACACTAAATACAGCACTGTGCACCAGTCGGTCACAAACCTTGCAATCCAGACCCTTGTAAATACTAATCTTTTATGCATAATATAATAAATCATGATATTTTTCACAATGCAATAAAGGGTTACTTGCATGGTATTCATGGTAATACAGGGTTAATTGCACTGTAATTACCCTGGTAATACAAGGTTAATTGCATTGCAGTTACACTGACAATACAGGGCTATTTTAATTGCATTGCAGTTTTACTGACAATACAGGTTACTTGCACTATAATTACCATGCTAATGCAAGGTTAATTGCACTGCAGTTACAGTGATAACACAGGGTTACTTGCACTGTAATTACCCCTTTAAAACAGGCCTTCTTGTAGTATCTTGCCTTTCATCTCTCAGTTTGTTATTTTGTTGGAAGGTTCCATTTTTATGATGGGCATAATCAGGTTTGTAAACATTAAATTTCTGATGACCTGTGATAGTGACTTTGTCTCATGTTAAATATTCAAGCCACGGGACCAATGGGTAGATCCCTAACATTCAGACATAATCAAGTAGTGCATATGTGGTTTTATAACATCTTTAGGGTAGTTTGTTGTACAAAACTTTTTCTAATATATTTGTGTGTCAAAGGTTTGAGTTTTGAGTGATATTTTAAAATAGATTTGAAAAAGTCCCACATGTTTAGCTTGTAGAGTTGGGTTTACAATTTATAAAATTTATACAATTTATAAAATAGCCTTGAATTCAGATCAGCAGGCTGTATATTAAAAGTATAATATACAATGGAAACATATATAGTAGTCCCTCACTCTGTCAGTAATGGATGTTTTAGGCATGTTCATCTTACAATGAGGTATGCTACATGGAGGCACCAGATACATGGCCATTCCTGTTTTGCAATGGACTGACATTATAGGTGGATACTTTACAGGGAGGGATCATTCTAACTGCAGTTGACATTGTTTACTCTCATGGTATGAAGTAAATCATTTTTTAATAGATTTGAGGAGAAAGGACATGTCCAGCTTTGCCTTGAAAGGTTCTAAACAATTACACGTAAAGGGCAGTGATTTTTTCTTTGCTGTAGAAAAACTTTATTTAAAGTAATTTAATCTTAATTTTCAAGTTGTCTTGAAATTTATTTATGATAAAGATATTGAGGACAGCTAATCAAACTAGTTTATAGGTGGTCCAATATCTAGGACAGGTATATCAGTCATAGAGGACAGCTAATCAAACTAGTTTATATGTGGTCCAATATCTAGGACAGGTATATCAATCATAATAGACTGGTTTATTATGGTTGGATATATAGGATAGGTATATCAGTCATAACCAAACTTGCAGAATTGTAACATATCAATTTCAAATATTAGATTTTATTAAGTAAATGTTTATGATGAAACAACTCCTTCCTTACAAGTTAGAAATAAAGTTCTTTGGTGATCCATTATGCAAAAATAGCAATCAGACATGAAAACATGAGCTTTTGATTGATCATTCAAATTATTTTTAAAATATGATAGAAAATGTACTCTGTATGATCCTCATGTTGGAACATAGCCAACTATGTATGGTTCTTTATATTGGAACACAGAACAATTTATGGTCCTTCTGCTGGAAAATTGCAAACCATATTTGATCCTTGTATAGGAATATGGCAAACCATATATTGTCCTTATGCTGGAATGTGGCAAACAGTGGTCCTTATGCCGGGACACAGCAAACCATGTATGGTCCTATCATTCAAGTACACCAAGGTTGCTGACAATATAGAAAGGTAGAGAAGGCAATAAATTGGTATCTGGTTTCCTCAGATATGTAACTTAAATCTTCATTTGTGCTTTTGTAGAATGGTTTCATGGTGCAACGAGTGTACAGTTACCATAATATTACATATGTGTGATACTTTACATTCCAGTTTTCTTTCTAAATTTCCATATGTTAATGTATATGCTGTGTAAAAAGTTGTTTTCTTAATTATTTGTGTGTAAAAGTATACATGTTCTCATGCAGATTGCCATTGCTGTAGATATTTATGCAACAGTGGAACGAACAGTTTCTCACAATCATTTTGTGAGCCACATACTCTGGTACCCAAAGAAATGAATGATAGTGCTGGAAATCTTGAAAAATTTAATGTTGGACTGATCAGATATTAACAAACATTTTGCGTAAGTTTCTATTTTGCATCAATATATTTTGCAAAATATACTTTGTAAAATTGTGCATGTGCCAGAAAGTCAAACAGTTTGCATCAAGTTAAGTTAAATTGAAATCATAAATTAAAATGTAAGAGCAAATGTTAATAATAAGCAATCATAATGTTGGAAAAATTTAATTAGATGATGTGTCTTTTGGCGTTTGAGTATTTTGATTGGCACACCACTGCTGTTGATTTATTGAATTCCTGATCAAGTGCTGTGCATATATTACCATAGAAACTGTCTTTTTATGTTTAAAAAATATTTTGTTGGGATGATATGGTTTATAGGCATATTAGCACAATACTAGCTAGGTAAAGGTGAGTAATCTTATTTATCTATGGGCAAATTCTGTAAAATATGAAGATATTTTAATCAGCATCATGGGATGACTCCATTAGTCACCTGTTTAACATGCAGGATTATATATTAGGCTGATTTTATATCCCTGAGCTTGGGGTTTTGGGTGTTGAATATCTGGTTTATTTACATCCCTGTGTCCAGTGTGGAGGGTGTTAGGTATTGAGTATCTGGCCTATTTTACATCCCTAGGCCCAGCATGGAGCTAGGTGTTAGGTATTGAGTATCTGGCCTATTTTACATCCTTAAGCCCAGCATGGAGCTAGGTGTTAGGTATTGAGTATCTGGCCTATTTTACATCCCTAGGCCCAACATGGAGCTAGGTGTTAGGTATTGAGTATCTGGCCTATTTTATATCCCTAGGCCCAGCATGGAGCTAGGTGTTAGGTATTGAGTATCTGCTCTATTTAGACCACTAGGCCCAGCATGGAGGGTTCTTTTTGTTGAGGATTTATTAGGATATGCAGGTATCATTAAATCAAGAAAAATATTGTATGGGTGCAAGAGTTCACCAAGTCTTGCAGGACTGGCACAGCATCAAGTCAGATATTAAGATTTCCATATGCAAATAATAAAAAGATTTGATTACGAAAATACTTTTAATCCATCTGTGACAATACTCACATGATATTTTGTGATAAAGTGGTACCACCAATTCTAAATGTTTCATGTAGAAATATTGGAGAATATTCATGTTGCACACATTCTCAACATATGTGAGCAGCCAATTGTAGTGATATAAACATGTTAATGTATATAAAATATTACATTTATATAGTTGATGAGTGGACAGTAAATTTTTTTATATTTATCCATCTGTATGTATGTTTATTGTTTCATTTTCTACTAAAGCCAGAGTCGGAAGTGTGGAAACATATCATAAATCCGTTTATGCTTCAGTTATTTAGTGGTGTGCTTATAAAAACATGAGATTCACTTAGTATGACCACTCTATGTAAACCTTCCATGTTTCCAAATAGAGAAAGTATTGAGATGTAATTGCTTGGAAAACTTTGTTGTTTGCTCTCCATTCTTAAACACTTATAAAACAAAACAACCCTCATTTTTATTTGTATGTTGGTTTGAATGTGGCATTGCAAATTACATGTATATCAAATTACAGTTTAAAGAGTACTCAATGACAACATTCTATTTTTTAAAAAAAAAACAACTTAATAGGTTATTGGGAGATGTAAAATGCATGTAATAATTTATTGGGTTTGTCAATAATTGCCTTTATCATATTTTCTGGGCACCATGGTAGCGTAGTCGGTAGAACAGTTGACTCCTAATTTAATTGTAGTGGGTTTGATACCTACCCAGGCCATCCAAAGACACTTGGCTCATATTTCCTTGGCACAATATAGCCAAAAATATGTTCAAAAAGCCGTTAAATAAACAAATATTTTTTTCAGATAGTAACAAGTTTCTTCGTTTCCATGTACTTTATACTTTTTTATTCCCTCTCATATTGTTACCCCCTTAATACATATATATGTTGTTTTTTTACTTTTTTTTGTTCAGAAAATATTCTTCTTATTACAAATTTTCATTTTTGTGCTTGATGTGTTGAAAATTTACATTACTACTTTATTTGTACATAAAAATGTTGTTAAAATGTACAAAATATTACATCATACTGATTATACTTTATTACACTCAACAATTTCTTATGGAATATTGAATTCTATGTGAAAACTATTGCAGTCATACAGACTATTGAATACTTTATAAAAACTATTGCAGTCATACAGACATTTGAATACTTTATAAAAACTATTGCAGTCATTCAGACTATTGAATACTTTATGAAAACTAGTGCAGTCATACAGACTATTTAATACTTATAAAAACTATTGCAGTCATTCAGACTATTGAATACTTTATGAAAACTATTGCAGTCATACAGACGATTGAATACTTTATGAAAACTATTAGTGTTACACACTGTTGAATACTTTATGAAAACTATTGCAGTCATACAGACTATTGAATACTTTATGAAAATTATTGCAGTCAGTCAGACTATTGAATACTTTATGAAAACTATTAGTGTTACACACTGTTGAATACTTTATGAAAACTATTGCAGTCATACAGACTATTGAATACTTTATGAAAATTATTGCAGTCAGTCAGACTCTTGAATACTTTATGAAAACTATTGCAGTCATTCAGACTATTGAATACTTTATGAAAACTATTGCATACAGACTATTGAATACTTTATAAAAACTATTGCAGTCATTCAGACTATTGAATACTTTATGAAAACTATTAGTGTTATACACTGTTGAATACTTTATGAATATGAAAACTATTGCAGTCATACAGACTATTTAATACTTTATAAAAATTATTGCAGTCATTCAGACTATTGAATACTTTATGAAAACTATTGCAGTCATACAGACTATTGAATACTTTATGAAAACTATTAGTGTTACACACTGTTGAATACTTTATGAAAACTATTGCAGTTATACAGACTATTGAATACTTTATGAAAATTATTGCAGTCATACAGACTATTGAATACTTTTTGAAAACTATTGCAGTCATTCAGACTATTGAATACTTTATGAAAACTATTAGTGTTACACACTGTTGAATACTTTATGAAAACTATTGCAGTCATACAGACTATTTAATACTTTATAAAAATTATTGCAGTCAGTCAGACTATTGAATACTTTATGAAAACTATTGCAGTCATTCAAACTATTTAATACTTTATAAAAATTATTGCAGTCAGTCAGATTATTGAATACTTTATGAAAACTATTGCAGTCATTCAAACTATTTAATACTTTATAAAAATTATTGCAGTCAGTCAGACTATTGAATACTTTATGAAAACTATTGCAGTCATTCAGACTATTGAATACTTTATAAAAACTATTGCAGTCATACAGACTATTGAATACTTTATGAAAACAATTGCAGTCATACAGACTATTGAATACTTTATGAAAACTATTGCAGTCATACACTGTTGAATACTTTATGAAAACTGTATTAATCACTACAGAATACTGAGAATAAATTTACAATTGTAACTGACTTTTTTCATGGAACTTTTTTTCTTTTGGCTAAACTAAACCACCACCACCACACCAAACCATGGCAAAACATTTCTGATAGTCAGTGCTACCTTTTGATATTGTCATTAGGTCTGTATATTATTTAAGTCTACCATGACTTGTCTGCATTGGTAAATTAAGTTCAGTTTGTATGTTTCATTTTGATGTATGTCAAATCTTGTTCAGTATTCATCAGCACTGTACACTTTAATGTATCAACATACCATGTTGATTATATAAGAAAACAAAGTTTTTTATTTACTATATGTATGTGCGAACAATGAATTTTTAACAATTCCAACAAAACCCGTTTTATCCCAAATTCTAAATGATTGATATTAGATACTTGACATTGGTATTTTGAATATGCTAAAAAGTTACTGTAATATACTGTAATTGATCAATATTGTTTATTTTGCATATTGTCTATTGTTCATCTCAGTTGATATTTTGATTTTGTAAAAAATAAAATTGCAATAATATGGAGAAATGTTAAATTCACCTAACATTTAGTTGATTTTTTGGAGATTTTATTATTTATAATTATTATTGAAGAACAAAAATATTTCTTCTGTATGAACATATAAAAGGTTACTTTTGTTGCAAACAAACATTGGTGAGCCTTGTAAAATTCACTGAACAAATGAATCTTGTTGCATCAGATTGTATACAGTTGTACCTTGGAGAAGAAGCCAAGCTTACACAATCATAACTATGTACAGGGTATTGTCAACATTTAATGTAGCTAGGTTATGTGGTCTGTATTATAACTATCCAGTATGCTGGTATAATTGAAATAAAATATTTGCATTTCCAATATTGCTTGAAAAACCAGTCTGAATTTATCAAGAAATGAAACTAATTTGTATTCCCTAAAGTAAATGAAACATTTATCAAAATCTGTATCTTTTTATTTAGTATTTAGTCATTTATTTATCAATAATTCAGAAATGCATCTTATTAATAAATTACAATTATTAATAAATTATGAATAAAAGTTTTTAAGAACAAAGAACAAAAATTACTGGCAAAACTTTTGAACAAAGCAGGATTTTATATGAAACAAGACACAAATTTAACATCTCTTCGTGTTCAAGCACTGCATTGTTTTTTTTTTAAACTGAACAAATACATTGGATATTATATCCTGTTATTATTAAAAGGAAAGTATTAGTACGATATTTTCCATGTTGCTGATGAATAATTTTCATGCTTATAAATTTGAGTTCATAAAATAAAGTCTTTTTTTCTGGTGACCAGAATAACATAGCATCATACATATTCAGCGCAATGAAAATGAGGAACCAATATTTTTTTTTATATAAAACAAAGATGCTGTATGATTCATAAAGATTTTAAGTAAATTAAAATGTAGAAATGAGAAGGGAATTTTTTTGTGGTACTATTTTTATTGAGTTTTTTTTAGGTTTTTTTATTAGTTGCTTTTGTGATTGTTTTTATCTGCCCACCATATTGGAGACTGTTTTGTCTTATAATTTATGTCCGTCTGCCTGTATGAATTGTTTCTGCACAGTAACATAGGGTGGCAGTCATCTAGTTACCAAACTTGGTGGATGGCTTGCACTTGGAGTACTTCAAGAATCCTGTTGATTTCAGGGCCAAAGCTCATATCTGCATCAAGGAAGAAAAATGGGTTTTACACTATAATTTTAAGTTCATCACAATCCACAGTTACCAAACTTGATGGTTAGATTGAGGTAAGGAATCCAGTTACCAAACTTGATGGATGGATTGGAGTAAGGAAGAACATGGTCAGTTTCAGAGTTAAATGGTGAATGGTCAAAATCTATGTGAGAAATTAGTTTTTCTGCACAAAAACATTAGTCTTGCATTACATGCCTAGACCAAACATTATGGATAATTATAATTGGGGTATGCAAGAATCCTATGAATTTTGAAGTAAAAGTGTCAGGGGTCAAAGTTACAGTGACTGAAGGAATGAAAATGGTTTCTGCAGAAGGAAATTAATCCTATATTACATACCTAGGTGAAGCTTTGTGAATAGCATGCAGATGGGGTAAGAAAGAAAACCTTTTGAATTTTAGGTTAAGGCTCAAGGTCACCTTGACCGATATGAAGAAAAATTGACTCCACACAATAACATTAGTTCTACATTGCAGACAAAGACAAAACTTTATGGACAACTTATGCTGTTTATGAGAGAGAAGAGTTGGCAGTCAAAGTTCTAGGTCACTGTGATTGAAAGAAGAAATGTGGTTTTGGCACGCAGACTTTAGTTATTTACATAGTGTTATAATTGGGGTGGGGCAGAGACACCAATAGTCATCTATAAGGCGAGTCCAACTGCAAAACTGCACTGACCTAGATCTGCTGTCACATAATGTGCTGGCAGTTCTGGGTCTGTCAGTATGTTGGGAGGAATTGGTGCAACAAGCAAAATATTATATGCAGGTGCACATTGGACAGCAGATAGGACCTTTGTTGTAGTTTGACTTGTAAGCAAGCGCAGATAGTATCAATTACTTATTGTCTTCATCTAATCTATACAGTAATTTAGCTAGTAAGAAAGTACAAGTTATTAGTCATACAAAATATTGAGCACTTTGCAGATTTTGGTATTCAAGTAGCCTATAAAACAAAATTGTAGTTAAAAGGAGAAATCATCCTACTAAGTTACAAAAGGAACATTTGAAAGCATACAGGTAGTTCCTGATACAATCTATAGCAGTTAGTAGTTTGCAATGGACAAAGTAGATGTCTCCAAGAGTATTGTAAATGTTTTCATTATTTTAACCAAATTTGTAAATTGACTTTTGCTTGTTATTTCATGTCAACTCCAGTTGTCTTTAATTTAAGTTCTCATGGTGCACTTGTGCAATCTTATTATTTGCTCAATACTTTCAGAGGAATCATTGAATAGCTTTCATTTGCATACACCATAAAATGTGCAAATATCATTCAGAGAGTGAATATATATATATATATATATATATATATATATATATATATATATATATATATATATATATATATATATATATATATTAAAAAAAATTATTTGCCTGATTATTTTGGATGAAAAGTTTATATTTTGAAGATTCCTGAACATGGGAAGAAAATTGTTTTTCTGATTTTCAGTCAGTGTTCTTAGCTTGTATTCCCTTTGCATTAAGATTTTCTCAATAAAAGCCGATTTTATGCAAATCAAATATTTATGATATTTAGGTTAAATATTGATTAGATAGATCATAGGAATTACAGA